TCGAACCGCAGTTTTTATGCAAATTCGTGCGGTCGTCTGAACCGCACTGTCTATTGTTTAACCTTCCAAACCGCAAAACTGGGTTTTGTTCGGGCGGTTTAGGGCGGTTTGGGTTTTCGTAGGTTTGACCCGCTTGTTTGAATATGAGATCACCCCTAAGCATGTCAAGATCATTACTTCCTGATTGGAGTAAATGTATATAAATATTTACACCTCTATATGATATGTACTTTTAATTGCTGGAAATGTTGATAAATTAAGAAATGAACAAGATGAACAGACAAACTGTAAATGTTATACAGCCAATCAAAATCAGACTTATGAACATATACATGTATAATATGGATGAAGTATGATTTGCTCTTATTATTAAATTAATCTATCCTCAGTAATTATGTCAAGCAATCAATGAGATTCAAGATTAAAGGTTTTGTCGCATGGTTGCTACATTACTCAGTGCACTAACCAATCATTCATGAACCTGTCTGCCTCAGTTTTTAAATATAAATACTTGTAATTTGAAACCCCCCTCAAATATTTTACAAGTTGGGTGTCAAGGATACTAAGATGTTATGAATTTCATTCGTTCGATTTATTTTTGTGCACATGATCAAAAAAAAAATCATGATTCTCATATTTTATGAAAATTATTGTAAACTCTTGATTTCAAAATCAACATGCTTGTAACAAAACTGACCCAGGAACTTGTCGATTGCGACGATACAACAAATTGGTTTACAAATAAAACTATAAGATAAGATACTACCATGATAACAGTGATACATACCGTATTGCATTCTATTGTTTTGATTTCACCTCCATTTGTAGCTTTGTATGACACTCTAAGCTTACCAGGTGAGCCTTCTTCCAGTTGTTCTACCTATTGGTACGGACAAGACAATAGATTAACCACACTATAATTATTACCACAGTCAGATCCAATCATTTCTCAAGACAACAATTGTATAGTGGAAAGTTAAAATGATAACAGTTTATACTTAATTTGTAACTTCCCTCACCATTGTTGGGATGTGCTCTTTGATGAACTTGACACCATGAGTTTCCATGTAGTCACCAATTCGATTGGCCATGTCCTGATCAAAACCTCTCAACAAGATAGACCGTACCATTACAGTAGTATCATAGCCTATACCGGCCAGAAACCCAGCACACTCCAACGCCACATATGATGCACCAATCACCAAGGTTTTACCGGGATTGTATGGCAGAGAAAACAAATCATCACTGTAAGGAAAAAAGATTTTATCTGAATCCCTGATATCCAACACTGTACTGAAGAGGATCGAAGCAATCCTTTGAATGCATGATGAGAATCTTCAACAACAAACAGTTTTTCCTTTCATTTTTTATTACAAGTTTGAACTTATGTGTATCATCATAACACATTACTGATACAAACAGATAGAGATATGAAAATGTTATACAAATGAAAAGTACACAGACCTTGTAATGCAGTATTCCTTAGCTCCTGGGATATCGGGATACCTTGGTCTTCCGCCGACGGCAATAATGAATCGTTTAGCTGTCATAACAGTCTCCTTTCCCTTTTTATTCACAGCCTAGCAAGAACAATATAAATGCTAACATAACAAATTAACGTATCTGTAAACTGTGTGCTAAAAATTGTTTATACTTTTCTGGTACAAGTAAAATATTCATGGCAAAACAAAAATCGCCTTTAGATTTAGTCTTTTGATGACACCTTGATTTTAGCACGTTTCAACGAGGGATGTGTCCTAGACAGGAAATTTCCTAAAATTTTAGCTACGTTTCCTATTAGCTTTGGTTAAACAAGTTTCATTTTCAATTCAAAACGATTTCTTTGACACAAAGTCTGTGTTTCCATGAAAACCACTTATTTTATTTTGCTAATGCAGCCTTTCCCTCAGCTAAATATGAACAATTTATAGTGCTTTCAAATCATCAACATTTCTCCTTGCTGTAAAATATTTTATTTTCGCTATTTTCGCTGAAAGAATGATTTGGTGAAAATAAAACCCAGCAAATTTTTTTCCCTATATTTTACATTCAACTCATCAAAAATCAGTGAAAATAAATTTCATCCAAAACAGCCAAAAGTTTTTTCAGCGAAAATTAATTCCAGCTAAAATAAAGTATTTTACAATAGCTACATTCAACTTACTGTAGAATACTTTATTTTCGCTTGGAATTTATTTTCGCTATTTTCGCTGAAGGGATGATTCCGTGAAAATAAAATCCAGCGAATATACTTTTTTTTCTATATTTCACATTAAACTCATCAAAAATCAGTGAAAATAAATTCCATACAAAACGCCCAAAAAGCCCTTTCAGCAAAAATTAATTCCAGCGAAAATAAAGTATTCCTCAGTAGGTCTTGACTTGAAGTATAGCCAATCAAGAAGCAGCTTGTTTGTTTGAAAGATCTTACAACAAATCAAATGTCTTGTCTAAATGCTTTGACTTAAATGTAGGTCTTACCTTAACAGTGTGTGGATCAGTAAACTCTGCATAGGCATTGTGGTAGGTGACATTTTTATCTCTTAAATCAACACGATACCCCCAGTTTAATGATCCAATGTGATTCTACAGAATAAAAGTACAGACAGTTTATTACTGCAAGACGTGATACGTGGCTATACAATCACTATCACTATCTACAGTTTTAGTATAACACCACAGAGCGTGCATGCAGTTCATTCTCTTTGCTAACTGCAAACAATAGAAAAATACCATAACTGATTTAGAAAGGAATGGTGATTTTCAGAACATTAAAAGAATGAAATATAAACAATTATTGATGTATTCAATACATACCTGGATTGCATCTCTCATTGTTGTCCAATTATGCGATGCTGAATAACAAAAACAAACAAAGTCGTAACAAGAGCCTCTGTCTGTCCGAAATACAGAGATGGACTTATGGACTCAATATGCAAATAAATTACATCATTGATCATTACAAGTTTGTTACAGTTGAATAATAATTTGTTTATGCATCGATTCAATAACATCAAATGGCCACATGGCTAATTTACAGACATGTGCAGTTGTACCTTTAAAGCATCATATTTTTGCGCCATGGTGGGTTCACAATAATGGTCTCATTGATTTGAACATATGGCTAA